TCACAAAAGCAGCAAAATCAGGGAGCTGGTCAGGGGACCGATTGGATTTGTCTTCAGCGTGGAAGATTGACACTCTCAAATCGGCCTCCTCAGCCACACTAGACGCTGTTCCAAGTCCTCCATACAGAGCACGTCACCATAGTCTTTTGAGACTGAAGGATACCTAATTTTGGAAGTGCTTATTCATAGGGTTGCCGTAAGCCAAAGGGAATTTGATGACACACAACAACATTTTTTGCCTTAGCAAAACTGGAAGACTGGACAAAAAAAATCTCTTTCTTTGTAATAATCAAAAACATGGCAAGAATCAAAATAATGTCTTGTCTAAACATATTTACATGAAAAATACAATCCTTTGGCCTTAAATGATCATATTGTAAGCTTATGCTAAATGAGTCTTCACTGAATGCCTCTTTTACTACAACCATGTACTGTACTTTAAAATGACAAATACAAATTTGAAAAGAACTCTAGTTTTGTTACTTCCATTGCTCTAGAAGAATGTGACTGAACATATGGTGTTGTGCACAGAAATTTCTAAAGCTGTCACATAATTGTCCTCATGAAGAAAATCGATTTAGATGTTTATAGGAAGCAGAAATGTCAGAACTCAAATGCAAATTCTCAATATTAGGCACACTGTTGACCTGAGAGTCTAAAAGCCATTACAGTAAAGACTAGTTTCAAAATACTCTTAATAGAATCAAAGAATATAGTGTAGGAAGAGACCTTATATAGGCCATTGTAATTGGGTTCTTTCTCTAGGGTAGGCGGGCCTAGGGGTTCGGCGGGAATGACAGCCGGAGACGATGTAACAGTCAAAAAAGGATTCGTTTTATTAACTCCATCATTAAACAATTCAGAACCAAACGGGTTCGGCAAGTCGTCTTCATTTATCAAACAGTATTTCTTAGGGTTGCCCCCAGGTCCAACACTTTTAGCTTTTACTGTTTCTTTCCCCCAAGGTGGGTGACCCAATTCTTGTTCCCGACCGGCGCGGTCAGCACTGAACAAGTTGTTCGACAGCAAGGGTGAATCACCACCGATCCCTCTAGCCTGGGGAGGAAAGGACTGGTTCCACCAAGGGTCTCCCTGGTCGCCCCTGAAGGGGTGGCTAGAACTGCTCCCGATTTCCATCCCTCCTGTCGATCACCCGTGCCCACCTTAGCGATTCCTTTGGGTAAAGGCAATAATCCGTCTTCTTTCATCAGGTTAGGGAAAGTCTTTACCAAAGTAGCCACCTTTTCTCTTTCTACTCCCGTCTCCACCGTTTGTGTGCTTTCCTCTCTTTTCTCTTCTTCTCCCCCTCTCTTTCCTTTCTCCTCCTCTTTTATAGGATCATCCCACCTCCAAGTCTCTAACTCCTCCCCCCAATCCTTCATCCTCTCCGCCAAGAACACTTCTACTGCCTTATTTGTTCCACCCTCATCATCATCCAGCCTAATCAGTTCTCCCACTATACATCCTTCGTTTTCTTCGTTCTTGGAGGTCTGCGAGGACGGCACACTTGTCTGTCTCCGCTCACAGCCATCTACTCCAACTAATTGTCCTATATGAGAACTCCAGAGCTAATATATTCCCAACCTGTCTGCCTAGCAGTGATGCCACTGGACAGGGCTGTGGGACATATATTCAGGACCTCACCCAGCACAATAAACTGGATGGCTATGTAATGTTCCTTAATGGCACCACCACTGCCCAGTCTTTTTTGAAGACCTCCACTGAGGGAAAAGCCCCCCCACACACATACACACTGTTCTTACACTGATGATGTTTCTCTTAATTCTTAACCAAACATAGCTGAAATCCTATTGCTTTATGATGCATGTGGAGGGCAAGTGGCATAACATTTATTCATTTTTAGTTGGCAGTTAATGAGTCATGATACATATGCTTGCTGGCTTGGTGCACGCTGGCGAATTCCAGCAGAGACTTGTTAATTGCCAGCTAGAAGTGACTGAAAGTTAGATTACTGTACTTGCCTTCCACATGCATAAAAAAGCAACAGGATTTCAGCCAGTGTGTCTTAAATTGTAGCCTTACAGTTATAGATCTCTTTTCACTCATTAATCAACTAAATTAGATAGATTAAACTGATTACATATGGTCATTGGGGACAAACCACAAATAAGAACATAGTGCTAGATTATTTTTAAGAAATTCTGCTAAGGTTATTAATGATTATGATGATGATGATGTGTCAGTACCAACATATAATGATCCTTTCCAGGGTTTTCCAGGTAGCAAATATCCAGACATGGTTTAGCATTCCCTTCTTCTGGGGGTGCCCTAGGACTGTGTAACTTGCCCTTGGCTACACAGGCTGGCTCTTCTTCCACTGTGACTTACTTTCAAGTAAATATGCACAGGATCAGGTTGCATTTCATTAGTATCTGTAACATGGAAGGGAACCTATGGGTTAAAATTACAGCACATTCCTAAACAGACTGTCAAGAAACAAAAAGAATTTGTATGCAGGATGGATAAAAATAAATGATTTTGTGGAAATCATATTGGTTTAAATCACTATTTTAATTTAAAAAGTCAATATTTACTACTTATCAGCACTGTGAATTTTAGATATACAGAGCCCTCTGCTGGATTACTTTTTCTACCAGGCTTTTAACAACCTTTAAAAAAAAACAGCACAAGCACATAGAGATTTTTAGCTTATAAGAAGCACTCATTCTTAAGCTAATTGACAAAAGGCAAAAAGAAGGATCTGGAGAAGTTGGGGGGAAAGGTTGTACACCTGTTTCCAACATATATTTCAACAAGGAAATTTAAAATTGGTTTAATAATTTCTGCTAAGGGTTGGACAGCTCAAGGGTTTAGGCACCTGGCTGCTGAGCTAGAGGTTGGGAGTTCGGTTTCCCACTATGCATCCTCTGAAGAGTTGGCCTGTGTGACCTTGGGCAAGCTGCACAGCAGACCTGGGCAAAGTGCAGCCCGAGAGCCGCATACGGCTCGCGAGCTGGCCCTGTCTGGCCCGCGAACAGTTTTGAACATCAAAACCATTTATAGCTTTTTGTCTAAAGTTGATCAGTTGCTTATCTTTAACATACTACAAAAACCTCTTTAGTATTTGTGAAGTTTAAAATAAAAACAATCATAACATCACTGTTTCATCTTATTTTTAAGTAAAGTTGGTTTGGCCCCTGAACACAGTTCAGACATTTCATGTAGAAATGAACTGCCCACCCCTGCTGTACCACAGACCCCAGAAGTAGGCATTGGTGACCCACTTCTGAGTATTCTCTATTTGGAAAACCCTATAAAAGGGATATCATAAGTCCGAATTGACTTATGGCACATGATGATGATGATGATGATAAAGGGTTTTACATGCTCAGTCAAGCTCCAAAATGTTAGGAATAGAGACGGGACCCACAGATTGCCCCCCAGTGACCCAAGGAACAACAAATCAGTTCGTCAGTTCATTATTATTATTATTTTTAGACAGCCCGTGGAGCTATCTTTAAAAAAAAAACCTGGACCCCTCAGCCTTCCTATGCTGTCTGGCATGGGAAGAGGAGGGGGGAAAGGATCAAAGCGACCCCCCAGCCCCGCTGTCTTGGGTTCCCCTTTCAATTCTTTTCCTATGTCGTGAGGGCAAGGATAGGAAGAGCGCAGCCTGTCAGAAGCGGTTCCCCCATCCCTGCTGTCTTTGCAACTGCCTTGCAGAGTGATCACTGAACCAAGATATAAAAAATGTTTTGCGATTGCACTCTCTTCACTGCCAACATTAAAATTATGCAATTCTTCTATTATAATTATATTTTTGTTTTCTTAACATTTTTTTTCATTTTTTTCTTTCACTTTCCTTATTAGCCATTTCAAGTCAGTGCTGATTTCTGCCAGTAGCATGGTGTCATCTGCACATCTGAAATTACTGATGATTCTTCCACCACCGTTCTCCTGAGTCTTATTCAGCTTTCCCTATGAAAATGCATGTTCATCTCATACCTTCCACATCTGTACAATTCATACAGAATGACAGAGCAGGAAGAAATGTACAGAGGGGTACCTGTACTGGTCTTTGTCAGGATGCATAACAAAAGCAAAGCAACAAACAAAACAAAATCTTGTGATACTTTTAAGCACACGTATAATTGACTTCAATCTTCTCCTTTGCAGAATAGCAACAGGCACAACATTATCCTACTGAACTCTTCTTGGGATCAGTGCTGCTTCTTTATTTTTATTCAGTGAACCTCTTCAAGAATGCTGGGTAACCATGAAGAGTGAATACTTAAATATACACGTACTACCCGTGTTTCCCTAAAAATAAGACAAAGTCTTGTATTAAAGTTTGTTCCAAAAAAGGCATTAGGGCTAATTTTCAGGGGATGTTTTATCTTTTTTTTTTTTCCATGTACAACAATCTACATTCATTCAAATACAGCCATGTCATCTTCTGGTTGCTGCACAATGGTGGAGGGAAGGGTTTCACTTAACTGGGGCTTGTTTTGGGGGTAGAGCTTATATTACGAGCATCCTGAAAAATCATACTAGGGCTTATTTTCAGGTTAGGTCTTATTTTCAGCGAAACAGGATAGTTCTTACCTTGTCGCACTTTTGGATCGCTTTTTTAATATCGTGATTTTATGTTAAGAAAGTTTAGAAACCTGCGAGAGAAGCTTTCCTTAAGAGCAACCCAGGCATATTTTAAAGTAAGAATTGGGAAAAGAAAAAAAAATAACATTATCTAAAACTTAAATTCAAGATGTACTGCAAACATCAGTAAATATACGTATCAAGAACACGTCCCTGACCCGCGGAAAACAAATACAAAACTGACTCCACACTTTTCTTTCTTTTTCGTCTTCGCCTGATGTTTAATGGCGAAATCAAAAGCACCACGACCACCACCAGACTTTTCCCCCACGAAAGTGCACAAAATCTCCTTCGACACCCCTTTAGCTTTCTTCCTAGATATACTGTACTGTACAGTACTTGGTAGGATCCGTTGGCTCCGCCTACATTTGCTTTCGTCGGGGCCAGCGGTTGTTTGACCCTCCTCGCGTCCCGTAGCGGGCCTGCTTCCGCTTCTGCCATTTCTGCGCAGCCGCCAAATTGTCCGCGTCGGGCCGTGAGTGAGGAGAATGGTAAGTGAGCAGGGATGGCGGTGGGGGGGACTTCGGGGGCCGGTCGTTCTCGGAGCCCCGGGACGGGGGCTCTAGGTAAAAAAGCAAGGCGCTCGGGGGAAGGGTCGGCAGGTGTGTGTGTCCCCCGGGGGCCCTTGCCGCGTGGGCTCTTCTCCTCCCGGCCGCTTCGCAGTGTTATGCGTTGTCATCGTAACTCCCTTCTCCCGTCTGGGATGGACGGTGGGAGGTCGGGGAGCGAAAAGCAAGGCGGCCCCCTCGGCTTGAGGGCCAGGTGCTTTCTCGTCGGGGAAGGACCCGCCATTAAGGAGCCCGAAGTCTTTTGGGAGGGCGCTGTGAGGGGTGGGAATGTTGTTCAGGCTCTGCTGAATGAACCGCTGTAGTGTGGCATCCTTGGGGGGGGGGAGGATGGCTCTCCAGATACTGCTGGGGCTGGAAACCCCATCGTCCTTCACCTAGGATGGTCAGGCAGCGCCCCATCATTTCAATCATTGTGATATCTCCGGGTGCGTCTGCGTTGTCACTTGTCTCACACGGTTGTTGTGGTTATGTGCTGTTATCAGATTTTTTGTGTGTGCCCCTAAATCCTTTCTAGGCCAAAAAAGCGATCTGATAACAGGACATAACAACAACAGCCCTGTGATACAACAGGAATTGATTTGAGGGTAGGTAGTACATGCATATATACTGTACATCCCTCTTAATTTGTGTTCCCTGAAAGGTCCTGTCATTAACAGCCTGAGGAGACCTTGCAGACTAAAGGTTGTGGTTTTGTTTATTGAGTCAAACCACCTCATGTGCATCTTGACTCTTTTCCTGCTGTGGCTAACTTTTTGTAACAGTATTGTCTTTTCCAGTGAGTTTTGTATGTGGCCAAAGTACCGTACAGTAGTCTCCATTTAGTCATTCTTGCTTTTAGTGAGAGTTTAGGCTTGATTTGATCTAGCACCCACTTATGTGTCTTTTGGATGTGCCATATTATTTGTAAAGCTGTCATCCAATGCTCTTATTTCAAATGAATTGATTTTTTCACCTGTCAGCTTTCTTCACTGTCTAGGTTTCACATTTGTGCATAATAATCATAAAATTACGGAGTAATTGTAGTCCTAAGCAAATATAATGTAAGTCACATCAGTCCCTTTAAAAAAAGTGGCAGAATCCATAACCAGACATTCCTTTTATCAGTAGGCAGGAAATTTTGGTCAAGGTTTCCAAATCTCTTCAGGCAGGATGCTACAAATGGGATGTTTTGGGGGAGGATTTTATTTTGATATTGAAGACTGCATGATCAGAATTGAAAGATAAAGAGGAGATATATTTTCTTAGGATTTCTGCAAAACATGCTAGGGTTGCAGCCTTGCTTGAGAGTACTGTACATCTGACTGAAATGTATGGAATTTAGTTAATAAGTTAAATATTTGGCCTTCAAGACATTTAGATTATTTCAGCTACACAAAATGAGTTGAATTTTTTAACAGTTCCATTTCATCTTCATTTCTTTTGTATTTTCTTCCTTGCTAGGGACAAAGCCAGAGTGGTGGACATGGTCCTGGAGGTGGTAAAAAGGATGACAAAGTAAGTTTGCAAAAACATACCAAATAAACTAAATGTTTTTTCTGGTGTGGTTTCCTGAGATATGCTGCACTAAAAATAAATTCTGTGTTGATTGAGGAGTTTAAAGATGCCCTTTACAGACATGGTCTTTCTCTGTATAGATAAAGGTATATTCAGTAAGTTGCCTTATTCTTCAGTAATTGAAACTTTGTAATGGTTACCTTCTGATAAACTGTGGTTAATCTAAAGTGTGTGTGTGTGTCCAGTGGTCCCCAACCTTTTTAACTCCGTGGCCTGCTGGGGAAGGCGGGCTACTCCCTCATGCACATGCGCAAAGGAGCATGCACAAAGAAGTGGGAGGGCACGTGCGCGCATGTGCAAAGGGCAGCACAGCGCTCGGGGGCACTTGTGTGCATGCACGAAGGGGTGGGGGAGCGCTCACACAGGCACGCACAGGCGCAATGGGGCTGTGCATGTGGGGATGGGGGGAAGGTCTGTCCCTATGGCCCAATCCGGCTCAGGCCACAGACCAGCACCGGGCTGCGGACCAGGGGTTGGAGATCTCTGTGTTAAACTAGCCAGCCTCAAACTGTTGTTTATGAACCTCACTGGTTTCAACTAACCACAAGTTTAACGATAAGATTTGGATGGTACCTGAAACAAAAACTGGAAGCAAAGCCTTGTGATCTTGCCTTTTCAATCATACCAAATTGAAAGTTAGCGTGCAAACCTCATGTTGCAGCTTGTTCCAATGACAGATCAACAAACTTCTTTCCCTTTTAGTTGAATATTATTGACCATATTCAAGAAATCTATCATTGGACACATTTGTACATCAATATCCATGATTTTCTTAATCTCTTTGAAAATCATTGAGCATTTCTTCCTCCTAATTTCACAAGTCAGTCACATAAAGTGAATATGTCTCCCTGTCTTTTTTACATCTCCAACATAAAGATGGTGATATTTTGTTGAACAAATTCAGTTTCACTTGTGTTAAATACCACCTCCATACTACTTTATATCTTTTTTTTCTTAACTCACAAACTATCGAACACATTTTTCTCCAAAATAAACTGGTCAAGCTAAAGCCTCTTCTGCTTTATCTGCTGTTTGCCATGTTTGTCCTGTTATCCATCTCAAGAAAACTAAAACGTCTTGATTTTATATTCATTTACTGTTGATTGGTACCATAGAATAATCCTTAAACAAGTTAAGAAGTTTCTATGGGTTGATAGCCTCAGAAATATGCTAGGGCTTTCCAGATAACTTGGCCTTGATTTTGGAGCCCACAACACTATGTGAAATGATTTGCTGTAGACGACAAAACATGATGTGCAGGATATGTTATTGCAGCCTTTGTTTTTTGATGAAATTATCATAAGTTGCTCTGGGGATGCAGCTTCAGACACAGCAGTAGATGTGCTCATGGCTCATCTAGCTACAGAAATGCTTATTAATGACTGTTTCCCAGATTTTGGTTAGGAGCTGCAGCTTTTCTTGCATGCTGTGATCTATCATATAATTGTCCCTGCTCCACCCCAATTAATCATATTATTTCTCATTGTAGTCCTGGCTTCCCATTGGTTCAGGTCTGTCACCATTTGAATTCTAGGTATGTGTGTGTTTTCCCCCCAGGATAAGAAGAAGAAATATGAGCCTCCAGTTCCAACCCGAGTGGGGAAGAAGAAGAAGAAAACAAAGGGTCCCGACGCTGCGAGCAAGCTTCCACTAGGTAAGCAAACGTAGCTAGTACTGTGTTTCCCCTAAAATAAGACAGGGTCTTATATTAATTTTCACTCCAAAAATCCATTAGGGTTTATTTTCAGGGGATGTTTTATTTTACAGTCATCTCATCTTCTGGTTGCTGCACAATGCTGTACAATGGTGGAGGGTGAGGTTTCTCTGAACTGGGGCTTATTTTTGGGGTAGGGCTTACATTATGAGCATCTTGAAAAATCATACTAGGGCTTATTTTCTGGTTAGGTCTATTTTTGGGGAAATAGGGTACACGACTTGCTAAGGGACCATAGCAGAGCACTAGAGCACATGTGCTCTTTGAGAAGGGTCACTAGTTCAGTCTTGGGCATCAGTCATTACCCCTTCTGATGCTGCCGCAATTCAACTCCCCATGGTTTTAGCATAATGCTCTGTCTTTAACTGGGGTGGGTGATATGGGACTTGTGGGCCACATGTAGCTCCAAAGCTTTTTCGGCTCAAATTCCCTTGTCCCAGGGCATGGGGAAAAGTTTGCCATGTTTTGAAGTGTCCCAACACCACTCCTTCCTGCCAGTTCATTTCCTCATGTACATATTGTGCCCACTGGAGGGTGCAAGATATTTTCACTGGGGAAAAAAACAAGAAATCGATTGGGTCTGGGACTTGTGGGAGAAGATGTAGCCCCAGGTTTTACTTTCAACTTTATACCACTCTGCCGTTTCTTCAATTGTAGTAACCCCTCACACCCAGTGCAGACTGAAACTGCTGAAATTGGAAAGAATTAAGGATTACCTTTTGATGGAGGAAGAATTCATCAGGAACCAGGAACAGATGAAACCTTTGGAAGAAAAGCAAGAGGTATTTTTCAAAGGATATTCTTTGTCTGGTAACAGAAGTTTTATCTCTCTTAGGGTATTTACTGTTACATACTAAATGGTGGGAAATCCTATTCTGGTCTTAATTTAAAAGATTTGTATTGTTTTGTAATCCTTGCTTTTTCAAAACAGTGGTATTAATTTGAGGCTGCTGCCATGTTAATATCAATATGTGTAGCCGTTACTGCTGTTTCAGGGGGCTGAGAGTGCTAACAAATTGAGGACCGTTCAATCACAATTGTATGATAGGCATAGAGTGTTGATGAGGAGATGCACTATTTGCAACACATAATTACTGCAAATAATTTTGCCTGCAGGAAGAGAGATCAAAGGTGGATGATCTCAGAGGAACCCCTATGTCTGTGGGGACACTTGAGGAGATCATTGATGATAATCACGCCATCGTGTCTACATCTGTGGGATCTGAGCACTATGTCAGCATTCTCTCCTTTGTAGATAAAGATTTGCTAGAGCCCGGATGTTCAGTTCTACTTAATCACAAGGTAATTAAAGTCATCTTTAGAGGTTTTGGCTGCCTCTGATTCAGAGCAATGAAAGGCAGTAACGTTTATAAAAATGTATTTAAAGCATTTCCTTTATTTTTCAACCAAAAGCAGTCTGTGTAAGATCAGTAACAAAGCAGATGTCCATATTTACAATTCATCGTTTAAGAAACATAACATAAAGGAAAATGGGATGAGAAAGGAAGAGAAAAACCAATTATTAAAGTCAAAAGATTTTTATAATGACTATGTAGAATTGAACCACTGCAGAGCTGAATGGAGCTGGTCTCTCAGCTGTGCATTGGAATGTGTCTGTTCCTCCTCCCTTTCCCTCTAATGCACCTTACCTTTGAGTCATACACATTTCAACAGCCAGTTATAATGTGGTTGTGATAAATTTTAAGTAGGATGCAAACACAGCAGAGAGAACTCAGTAGAAGGCAACAGAGGTTTAGACCCAGTACAGAGAATGCTGGCCATGCAATTGATGGGTGAAATTAAATACTGTACAGCTTCCTGAATTCCTGTTGATTTGAACAGATTTCAGACACAACTTCCTTTAGGATAGGCTCAGCAAGTAGAGAATTACTATATGCCAGAGTTGATTGGCACTCAATGTTATGCACATTGCCCTGGGTGGAAGGGAAGCATTTGTTATCCCATCTCAGGCAACAATATATCTGAGGCCAGGGCTATTCCATGGTGCTTTGGAACAAGCAGGACAAGCTCAGATCTACAGTGCTGGTTTGATTTGCTCCAGAGCTTGCCTTGAGATGAAAGAATGTTTAGTGTTTCTTCTTTCAAGTTGCTTGTGTTTGCAAGAAAAGGTTGTATGTCAGCTTTGAGCTATATATGAGATTCCCCTTCCTTCCCTTTTCTTAGAAATTTTTAGAGAATTTTTCAGGGAGGGTTTTTGTAGCCCTTGGCATTCTTGCCAGGTGGCCAAGATACTTGCTGCTTGCAGAGTTAATTTTCTCAGGTGAATCAATCTTTACACTTTTGGTAGTGTTGTTTATGCTGTGGTCATAATGGATAAAAACACTTTTTGTGAATAATATGGGTAATGTGCTGTATTGATTGGTACTGCCACCTGTTATTTTGATTAGGTCCATGCTGTAATAGGAGTACTGATGGATGACACAGATCCTTTAGTTACAGTGATGAAGGTGGAGAAAGCCCCACAGGAGACATATGCAGATATTGGGGGCTTAGATAATCAGATTCAAGAAATCAAGGTATTTATCCTTCTAACACTGTGTGATAATAGTAGCAGATGCTATGCTATGTATTACTTCAAAGATTTCTTAAAAGATGTAGTAGACAACTTACATTGTAATTTATTTGAGACACCAGTGGCTTGTGGCTTTCACTTCAAACTCCAGTAGTATTTTGCTGACCTGTGGCCAAGAGGAACAGCTCATCAATTATTACAGATGTTTTTGTTAACATTAGTAAAACAGCCCTTTCTACTGAAATAAAACTCAGCCACGTGGTCATTACAAAATACAGTTGTAAGAGTAAGCATTATTAGATTAAGAAAATCATACAGTCTGTTAGCTTTCATGTATCAAGACTAGAGATGGGGGTATTCTTATACAAATACCCCCATCTCTAATCAGGATTGTTCACTGTGTCAAGCATGTACCAGTGTGAAGAACTTCAAAGACCAAAAGTTCATGGCAAGATGGATTTGGCCAGGCACGTTTTTCTTAGATGTCAGTTAGAAAAGATACAGGCTGCATTAGAGCTGTTGTGAATTGGATTAACACACACACACACCCAATTCTTCAAACAAAAGGGGGCAGGTCTCTGCACCTTCTCATTTGGTCTTCCTTCGATGCATGTTTCTGTTTGGCTAGGGATGGGGGTGGTTGTCACAGAAAACCTGGAGTCCTCCATCTGGGATTTGGGGTAACAATTTAGTAAACTCATTACGTTTATCAATTGGAGTAAAAATAAAGCCAAAATAATTTTACTCCTTTTGCCCTTTCTAATGCAGTTGGGCATAAATTGACAATGAATTGCTCAAAATACAGAAAAGTATGTTCAGACTTTCATTTTTCTGTGGTCCATTTCTACTCTTTGTTGTTGCAGCTGCTGCAGGATGAGGGTGCCTTAGAAACATTTGAGTTGTATTGACATGCTTCGAGAAAGGAAAGCAGAAATGATAAACCATAAATTTTCTTACTTATAGGAATCTGTGGAGTTACCTTTGACTCATCCAGAATATTATGAAGAGATGGGTATAAAGCCGCCCAAAGGAGTAATTCTGTATGGACCACCTGGGACAGGTACTCCCCCCCCCCGACTTTCACATCTGGTTCTTTGTATATATGTATGTCCTGAAAGGAGAGAAAAGAATCAGAATATTGAAATTATCCTTGCTTCTCAAAGCAATACCCCATAATTCTTAGAAGGCTTATGGATTCTTAAAGGTATTCTGTTTGAGACTAGAGGAAAATTATTGTCATTGCTCTTGTTCCTTATCACTAAATGATCTGGAATATACACAAAGGTTTACATGCTTGATGGAGGGTGGAGACTTAATGTATTTATTTCCTTACCACTGGTTTGTCTTCATGCTGCTAGTGTGAAACACTTTAATAGTAGATAGATCAGATTGTCTTTTAATGTATATGGTGCAGTGAGCCATACAAACCATTTACTTGTTGCTTAATCAAGGTAGCTTCTTTTTTAAAGAAATAAATAATTGTATACAATTTTCTGAGTGGATTCTAGAATAGAAGTTAGTCATCCATAAAAGGATTTCACAGGGATTTACCATTCAGATTCTCAGTTCATTTCTCTCTGGTCTGTTTATAGAAGCTGATATTCATGATAATCTGTATGCCTGTTGGTTGCTTCTAGGAAATCTTTTATATTAAATCTATGCTACAGATTGCTGAGTGCCTGATTGGACGTTATATCCAGTATCTTACCAGAAAGGGAGCCAGTTTTCTTACATACTCACTTCCTACTTTGTCTTTCTAATATGGAAGAGGTTTATCCAGAAACCAGAAGCAGGGAGATCGAAGGGCAGACACATGTTGTATTCTACTGGCTTAGATTTTACCTTTCTGTCCTGTGAAAGTAGTTAAAAGGGTAGGATTGTGTTAGCCTAATACTCCCTCTTTTGTGTAAGATGCATCACGTAATGTCAGACTATGCCCCTACATGATAGCTTCATAAAATACAGTCTAAACAGATCCTTAGACATGAGACCTGCCCTTTGGAAATCAAGGCACAGTGCTTTTGTGTTGCATCCTGAACCATAAGTATATTTTCTGCATGTGAATATATTTTAAAAAATGTAATATAGAATCTGCCAATGAGACACTGCTGAGAAAAACACTTTTATTTGGAGATCTGGTTGCCTTCATAAGGCACGAGGTCTTTTTAGTTATACCCCTAAAAAGTTCTTTTGCTGAGAAAAACACTTTTATTTGGAGATCTAGTTGCCTTCATAAGGCATGAGGTCTTTTTAGTTATACCCCTAAAAAGTTCTTTTGCCATTTTGAGAAAAGTCCTATATTTAATTAGTTATTTTAATGTTTAGCTATGGACCACCTTTTAGAAAGAAAATTGCTAAAGCAGTTTTTTTCTTTATATATATGACTATGAAAAATCCTGGACGTCTTTTTAAGTCATTGGTTTGTTACTCTTTTTTCGCTCATTTCAATGTCCCCTAGAATTCTAGCTGTCAGTGAATTAAGACTGTGTGGCGCATTTTGAAGTCTGTATGACTATGGAAATAGTTTTGTATTTTGTTGGCTTAACCTCCAAAACTAATCTTTATTATTTATTTAAAATGTTTTTGCCCTGCCCTTTGCCTTAAAAAGAACCCAAGGCAGCTTACATAATTAAAAGACAATATAAACACTAAAAACAATGATCCTTTTGATAGTTATGGGTTTCTTACATGAATGTATACCTCTGTAATACAGTTATACCACAGTAGGTACCTACCTCATTCTTGATCTTCTTGAAAATCAAACAGGTAAAACATTGTTAGCCAAAGCAGTGGCAAATCAAACATCTGCTACTTTCCTGAGAGTGGTTGGTTCTGAGCTTATCCAGAAGTACTTGGGAGATGGTCCAAAGCTTGTTCGGGAACTGTTTCGAGTGGCTGAGGAGCATGCCCCATCAATTGTCTTCATTGATGAAATTGATGCCATAGGTACCAAAAGGTAGGATACCGTGGTCACTTTCATAGTGTATTTCTGTGGATTTTTTTCCTCCAGTCCCTAAGTTATGTGGGTTGTGGGCTACAAGAGCAAAGTTGCATGCTCCCCTTCCCAAAGAATCTTTTTTCCAGAGGCTATTCCTGGAATCCTGATAGTTTAAAAAACAAACACTTGTACGTTCCTTGTTGTCTTCATCAGGGAGTGTGTGGCCCTTGTTGGACTGGGAGGGGATTTGCAAATACTGTAGAACATAATCCCCAGCATCTACATAAAGTACTAGGAAAGAATTTTGCCTGAACCTCTGAGAACCACCAGTCATTGTCAATAGAATTGGATTTGATGGACAAAGGGTCTGACTCAGCTGGGAGCAGTTTCTTGGGTTTCTGAAACAGGAACATTTTAAAAAACAAGTTTATTTATCCATTTATTTGTTATTTATACACCCCTTTCTCCTCCCATAGGGAATCCAAGGAGGCTCACAACAGATAAAATATGAAATTTGAAAAACATTTAAACATGAAACATATATTAAGATTAAAAATCAAGTTTGAAAACAATTCAAAAGCATTTAAAAACCTCTAAGTTAAAAACAAGCATTCCTGAGATAACAAACTGCTTAAAGTCCTGCCTGAAGACAAAGGTGTTTGCCTGAAGGACAAGAGCGATGGGGCCAACCTGGCATCTCAAGACATTACATTCTAAAGCTTGGGAGCAGCCACTGAGAAGGCCTCTCATGTCCTCACTGAAGTCTGTATGGTGTGGAGAAAGCACATAGAAGAGTTTTTCCCCCTTGCTTACTGAGCATTCTAAAGCTTGGGAGCAGCCACTGAGAGGGCCTCTCATGTCCTCACTGAAGTCTGTCTGTTGTGGAGAAAGCACATAGAAGTTTTCCCCCTTGCTTACTGAAATCATTGAGCAAAGCTGAATGGTGGGAGATTCAGGAAAAGTCAAAAGATGGAATTTTTTAAAATATAAGGCACCGATGTACAATAGAATTTGCTTCCACAAGAGGTAACAATGGCCATTGATTCAGACAGCTTTAAAATAGAATTAGAAAAAAAATGTAGATTAAGGCTATCAGTGCTGCCTGTTGTACTCATGTCCTGTTTGCGGAGTTCCAAGAAGTAACTGTGAGAGCAAAAGGCTGGACTGGATAGCCCTTTGGTCTGATCTATTACCATTTTTTATGTTCGTGAGATAGCAGTTCATAGTGAGCAGTTCCATTCTGAAATTTGTCTCTTTCGAAGAGAACAACTGATGTATGTGAATATTAATAGTGATTGTAACAGCACGTCTGTGTCAGGTTTTGTGCTGTTTCATGTGGAAGTGGGTGAAAGGGGGCCAGAAAGGCTTACAGCAGCCAGGGAGTAGTGAGCAAGCAAGCAGGTTCAGGCAAGTCATATACCAAAGATAGCTGTAAGATCCATTGACAAGATCTTGGTTAAGCAACACCTTTATTGTGTAGTTCAGAATTGGGTCATATTGCTGAACAAGAATTTTCTGTGTACTTGACTCATTTGCTTATGATTTCTTATTTACTTGTAAGTAAAGGTACACATTTTGTGAATACTGCTGTGTATAATTTTCTTTTATTCCCTTCTACTCCTACTTCAAAGGTATGATTCAAACTCAGGTGGTGAGAGGGAGATCCAACGAACAATGCTGGAGTTGTTGAACCAACTGGATGGGTTTGACTCGCGTGGAGATGTCAAAGTGATCATGGCCACTAACAGAATAGAAACACTAGATCCAGCCTTAATCAGGCCAGGTAAAAAACTGTGTCACATAGTTTTCTGTTTCTCATTTCACACCTTACATTTAATTTTTTGAAATTTTGGGACAATCTTAGTGTTCTTCCCATGGGGGAAGAAGTCCTTTGAAATGTGGGAGATACGGAATGGGAGAGGACAAGCAAAGCTCAGTGTGAGCAAATGACACTCTACATATTAGACCTCAGAAGCTTTTGTGAAGGCATACAGTTCAGCAGTCTTGCTGAGACTGGGGCTTTGTCAGGTGTGTATGGAGATGCCCTTCATACTATGTTATAAAGGTCCTGAAAGTAAGGTGGAATAGAAATGTAGTGTTTACAGAAACAAGAGATGCTTTGTTGCCAGGTTTGACCTCTGAGTGCATGCCTAAACTCATACATGTTCAGGGGGGCACACATAACAGATCTTTGAACCGTGGCAGTTGTGTGTCTTGACATAGATTGAACTGAGTATATCACACTCATGGAGCTATGCTCAAGAGGAATTTTTTTAAAACATAAAAAGAACCAAAATACAGCAAAGATTCGACAATAAAGTGTATAATAATGGAGAATTATAGTCTGAAGAAACAAATTCACATGGCTGAGAAGGTTCTGAGATTCAAGCAAAGATCTGCAGTACCTGAGCACACTATTTTCAGAAGTACTACAAGGGTAAAAAGAGAAAAGGAAGGAAGGCTCTTTACCTAAATCTCTCTCACACACACACACACATGCAGAGAGAGAGAGAGAGAGAAAGAGAGATTATTGGTTAATTGAGCCACCAATATATGCAGAAAATACTCCCAGAAATAGATTAGGTGTGATAAAGATTATCTCTCCTTAGTCTTATTAGACTATCTTGAAGCTGGAAAGTGTTCGAACTCTGGCTGGAATAATGTAAAGGACACAGAGAGAGAGAGAGAGAGAGAGAGAGAGAGACAGTGAGAGAAAGAGAGATCGTTGGTTAATTGAGGAGCCACCAACATGTGCCGAAAATACTCCCAGAAAATAGATTAGGTGTGATAAAGATTCTCTCCTTGGTTTTATTAGACTATCTTGAAGCTGGAAAGTGTTGGAACTCTGGCTGGAATAATGTAAAGGAATTTTTAGTCAAGGATCAAAGGAAGGACCAGAGGCCCTTGGCCAGAAATCAGGAATTCAGGAGAGCAACATGGGCTATCAGGAGTCTGGATTCTGAGGGACTAAGGCAGTTATTTCAGCTCAGAAAATGAAGTCAGCATGAAGGGGCTTGGCGGGGATCAGCAGCAGGAAGATTCTGGCGAAGAGATACAGAAAGAAGATTCATCCCAAAACCACTAATATGGCTACTGTGTATTTTTTTTCTGGAAATCAGGAATTCAGGAGAGCAACATGGGCTATCAGGAGTCTGGATTCTGAGGGACTAAGGCAGTTATTTCAGCTCAGAAAATGAAGTCAGCATGAAGGGGCTTGGCGGGGATCAGCAGCAGGAAGATTCTGGCGAAGAGATACAGAAAGAAGATTCATCCCAAAACCACTAATATGGCTACTGTGTATTTTTTTTCTGGTTTCTGCCGAGGCTGACTACTGATGTGGCCTCTTATTAGTCAGGTGCCCTGTCCTGCCCTGAGCTTAACTTTTCCCCACTTTACTAATCCTGTCTGATAGTCCAGATAAAATGCATAAGAAAAAGAATATGGGAGACTCTGTATTCTCGAAGGCTTTCATGGCCGGGATCAGATGGTTGTTGTATTTTTCGGGCTGTTTGGCCGTGTTCTGGAGGTTTTTCTTCCTAATGTTTCACCAGTCTCTCTGGCCGGCATCTTTAGAGGACAGGAGTTAGAACTCTGTCTGTGTTCTGATGTAGTGTGTGGGATAGTTGAGCATTTCTAGCTGTGGGATCTGCTTTTTGTCCTTTTCAGGAGATTGGGTGATTATGGTGATCAGGGTGTTTTTTGTTATGGGTGTATTGTTGTGATAAGGG